AAGGGAAGTTTAGGTTAGATATTAGGAAAAGTGTTCTTACTAGGAGGGTAGTAAAACACTGGAACATGTTACCCAGGGAGATGGTGGAATCTCCATCCTTGGAGGTTTTTAAGTCCCATATAGACAAAGCTTTGGCTGGATGATCTAGTTGGGGATGGTCCTGCTTTGAGTAGGGGATTGGATTAGATGACCTCCTGAGGTCCCTTCCAACCCTAATTTTCTATGATTCTGTGGTTCTAAGTACCCTGTAACCTGGGCATACATTTCAGCATAAGTTATGTTCATATCATAGTTTCAAGGTTTTCCACACAATAAGAACAGCAAGAAGCAGGCAAACTCTTTTTTTAATGAAATCCTTGAGAAATGGTGCTTACCTCATTGGAAAATATTGGCCTAAAAGAATCTTGTGCTTGTTAGCAGGATTTCCATTGCCCCATGAGGTTGCATAATTCTAATACTTCCAAATTAGTGGACAGACCTGCTTCTTGTTCCTACTGCCCCACTCCCTTTCATAGAATCATAGAAAAGTAGAGCTGGAAAGGACTTTCAGAAGTCATCTAGTCCAACCCCTGGCCAAAGGCAGGATTATCCCTATCTAAACCATCCTATACAAATCCATGGTCTAACCCAAGGATGGGCAAAATACAGTCCGTGGGCCTGATCTGGCCCACCAAGACATTCTATCTGGCCCCCAGGGTCCCTAAAAAATGTATAAAACTAATTATTATTTATCCCTGGCTGCCCGTCTAAGCTGATGAGGTGCCAGCGTCATCAGGACCCAGGAGGAGCCCGCGGATGGACCCTGGGTCAGCACCAGCAAGGCCCAACTGGCTGTGCCCCACCCTCAGCCTCACCCCCAGCCCCCCTACCCTCAGCTTCCTCTGGTGAGCCAGTAGGGGGTGCTGCTGCATTGAGCCACCCACCTCACTGCACCCGACCACCTTCCAGGCTCCGAGTGCCTCCCTGGGGGCGCCTTACATCTGGCCGACCCCCTTCCCGGAGCACACCCATTAGCCTGGGGTAAAAACTGCCACCACCCAAGGCTGGGCTTTATTCTGGCCCTGTGCACCCTGGGAAACACAGACCTAGTAGCCCTCGAGGGTACTTGACTCACTTCAAGCACTTGGGGGTGCTTCTCTCAGTCGGAAGCACAAGTAGTGGTCTCCCTTGGGGTCAGCCAAACCAAGGGGACCCCAAGGCATAATCTAGACCCACACCCAATAAGTCTCCCACGCTAGGTACAAAGGAGAACTTTATTGGTTACAAGGGGTAGGGCTGCAATAGGGTACAGGGTAGAGCAATATCAGAGAAATCCCATAGAGCAAACTGGCATGGCTGGGTAGCCTTTGATCACACATCTGAGTTACTGCAAGCTATATATCTACTTAGATTTCAGGTAGCTTACTCAAGTATCATCCAGAGGCAAGTGGAGATTCCCTCTGGAGGCAGGCAGTTGAGTTTTGAGAGAGAGAGCAGGTTTCAGACGGTTCAGCTCTTCTCTGTCTCTGAGTCTTCCCCATGGCTGCTGTCTCCTCCTCCTGGGCAGTCTTTAACTTACGTAGCCCTTGTGACCTCATTTACCTGGTCCAATGGATGCCAGCACCTGTTGGCTGTCAGCCAACCAATTTGAAATGCATCACTGGTTGCTGGGCAGACTGGCAGTTCCTAGCTCCCCAGGGAGTCCAAGCCCCTCACCCAGGTATGTGATGCCATTCACATAGGCAGAGGGAGCAGGTTTCCCCCCTCCCTCAGGAAAGTATCCAGCTCAGGTTACCTAAAGAGATAGGGTAAGGTCTGTACCCTCTGCAGGGCCCGTCTTAACCAAATTGTCACAGAGCAGAGTTTTGGGGGAGAAACAGGTGGCCTTCTGCTACGCCTCCAACCAGAAGCCTCTGCCTAGCAGAGGCTTCTGGCCTGGCAGTCCTGGGGCTGTTCCCCACCTCTGTCCGCCCAAAAGTGCAAAGTCAGAGGTGGGCAAAGGGAGAAGCGACAGCAATGGTGGGAAGGTGGGGAGTTGGTGGTGGCTGCAGCATCAGGTGTGTGTGGGAGCGGGGGAAGAGTAGCAGTGAGTGGACAGGCAGGAGTGTAGCGAAAGTTGGGCTGGAGTGCGGGGTGGGAGCATGAGGCATACACCAGTGGGTGCCCAAGGCGGCGTGGCAGGAGTGTGGAGCCTGGGCTGGCAGGGACTCTATGGAGCCGGGCCAGCTCCCCTCTCTCCCTGCCAGTGTAGCAGAAACTGACCTGACCCCCAGGATTGCCAGCTGGCTCCGTGCAGTGCTGGCCAGGCCAGGCTGGCTCCGACACCACACAGTTCCCAGGTGCATAGCTGGGACCGCATGGTGCAGCAGGAGCCAGCCAGGAACCACTCACTACTGGAGTGGCAGGCGAGCATGGGAAACAGAGGGGGGAAGCAGTGGTGGGCAGGGGGGGAAAGTGGTGTGTGGGTGCCCCAGGGCCAGAGCCATCATTAAAGCTTAGAAGGCCAACCCTCATACCTCATGAGGGAGACAGGGGTGGGCTGAGGCTGAGAGGGCAGAGCAGGTTGAGCCAGGCATGACCAGAGAAGAGAGGCTGAGACTGAGAAGCCGGGCTAGAGCAAGTGGGCTAAGGCCAAGAGGGCTATGCCTGTACAGGCTCGTGAATGAGTCAAAAGTAAGACCCCCAAACCTTATACCCACCCACACCCCCAGACCTATCTACCCACCACAACTCTCCCACACACCCTCCCCCACACCCCACATACACACATACACACACAGCCCCCTACAAACCCTGTACCCCCCCACCCATACCCCCCCACACCCCTCTCACAATATACCAAAGTAAGACTTCATTTAAAGCTATTGTATTTAAGCTATTACCTCTATGTACACTATAGAAACACATGTAAATCAGGACAAAAATATTTTTTGAAATCAAGTGAATGTATGTTGTAGTAGATGTTTGATTTTTAGAATATAATTTGGTTTTCTTTCTGGTTCCAAGATGGCAACCCTCTTGCTGAAAGGAGTACTTCCAGGGGCAAGGAGAGGGACTTCTGGTGTCAAAGGTCAGGGGTTAGGGGTGGGTCCCAAAATGGCTGCCTGGGGGGGCACCTGTCAAGGGATGGGGCTACCCTTGCAGCCCTCGAGGGTTTGCCAAAATTCATTAAGCAGCCCTCCAGCTGAAATAATTGCCTGACACAGCCACAAGGTATGACATCCTAACCTGCTGCAGGGAGATAATGGTGGCCAATGTCCTGCTTCTGTGAGGATTGTTAAAATATACCCAAAGAGCCCTCACTACAGAGGGCTGTATGCCCTCACTACAGAGGAAAGAGAAAACCCCCACAGCCTGTACCAGTCTGACCATGGAGTAAAATTGCTTCCTGACCCCGAATATAGTGATCGATCTGACCCTGAGCAGAGGGGCAAGACACGCTAGCCAGGAACCTCCAGCAGGAGCATTGGTACATCCCAGACAAAATTGGGATGGAATTTGGCTGCAGCCAATCTCCAAGGCTTCTGAGAAAGGTGAAGAAAAACAAACCCTGATGCAGAAGGGGAAAAATATTCCTTCTGGCTCCAAGTGGCAACCATCAAAGACCAGAAGGGAGATGCCCATAGCAGAACATAGGCATAGCTACTCCTACATCAGGGGTGGGCAATTCCAGCAGCTTACTAAAACTCCCTATATAGGGTGGGGAGGCAGGCAGGCAGGAAACAGTGTTTGGGAATGGGACAAGCGGGTGAGGCTGGGATCATGGGGTAGGGTCATGAGGTGGTGACAGCACAGGGCTGGAGCTGGGGCAAAGCTGCGATCCGCTGCCCACGTGCCCCTGCGACAGGCACTGGTTCTGTGGGCAGGGGTATGCAAGGAGTGGATTGTGGCTCTGCCCCAGCCATGGAGTTGATTGTGACTGCCCCATACTCTCACCACCCCAAAATCCCAGCCCCAGATGCAGCACTCTACCCACCTGGCCATGTGCCCTACTCACATGGCTCCCGACCAGTCTCCATGAAAACGCCAGGATCGTGGGGCAGTGACAGTACGGGGCCAGAGTCAGGACTGGGACTGGGGCAGAGCCACGATTTGCTCCCCACATCCCTGCTTGCAGAACTGGGGCTCTGCCTTGGCCCTGACCCCACACTGTCTCTGCCCCATGATCCCAGGGTTTTCATGGAGACTCCCTGGGAGCCACACAGGTAGGACATGTGGCCAGGCGGGTGGGGAGCTGCATCTGGGGCTGAGATCTTGGGACGGTGACACCATGAGGCTGAGGCAGAGCCACGATCTGCTCCTTGCACACCCTCTGCCTGCAGAACCTGTGCCCATTGCAGGGCCATGTGGGGAGCAGATAGTAGCTCTGCCCTGGCCCTGGCCCTGCGCTGTCACTGTCCCACAATCCCAGGATCTCCCATGGATCTGACCCACCTACCCATGTTCCTGGACGCTGCTCCCCACCTACCTGCAGCCCTATCCCAGCCACCTGGCTGAGCACTCTACCCCCACAAGTCCTGCCATTGCCGGTGGGTGTGAGACGGATAGGCCAGGGTGCCCAGGCAGCAGGGCTGGGTCTGGCAGCTGTGGCAGCCAGAAGGAGCTTCTGCATCAGGGGCTGCTGAGAAATGGAGTCCACCTGCCGCTGTGCCACCCCAAGTGCACTGTGCATGTGTGGGTGGTGGGACTGGCTGTATGCACCAAGGCCTGGGCTGCCCCGTGAGCCTGGGCTGGGCAGGACTGTGGGACCTACTGCAGGCCAGACAGAATCGCTCAGTGGGCTGCATCCAGCCTGCGGGCCATATTTGGCTCGCTCCTGTCCTAGATCATCCCTGATCAATATTTGTCCAGCCATTTCTAGAACACCTCCATGATGGACATTCCAAAACTTCCCTAAGTCCATTCCACTGCCTCACCATTCTAACAGTGAAGTTTTTCCTGATATCCTACTTTGCTGCTGTGCCTCTGGCTGTCCTTCTGGTTTAGGACACCCATAGAGCTGTTGTTTTTTTGCTTTTCAGGTCTTGAGAAACAGGGGGGTTTATGAAAATGTCAAATATGTTCAACAAGAAAATTTCTGGATTGGCCCCAGCTCAGTGAGTACCATCAGCTTGGAGTGAGCTTCTTTGTCTGTCTGGGGCAGATAGCATGGCCATACCTTCCACTGAGGAGTAAGGCAGTCCCATTTCTACTAGGTGTGGCAGAATAACCCTGCTGTTGTGGCCTGACTAACCAGGCCATGCCCAGTGGTGCTCCAGGTTCCATGATTGGTGATTTAAGCTTCACAGCTCCTTTCACAGTGAGGTTTCCTCTTGGGCCTCAATTCACCCAAGCCCATCAGAATGGCAGCCCTGACTAAGACAAAGTCTGGCCTCTTCTGTCTTGGCTGGCCTCTTTTCACTTGCACCTTGAATAGAGGCTACATGACTAGGCTACTGCACACAGCTATAGAGCTCTCTTGGAAATGACCCAGTGCTAGTTTGGCTCCACTGCTATGGAGCACAAGTCACACCAAGTCAAACTTATTAGGGACCAGTGTAACAGAGGCAACAGTTAGGGAAGTCTCTTAAAGGGGGAAGCCAATGATGGGGGCAGGGAGTGGGGGGCGGAATCTAGCACAGGAGTAGGAAGACCTTTTTTGTACAGAGAAGCCAAAAACACGTATTTGGTATCACTTCTCAGAAGTGGAGGAGATGCTTTTTGTTTGGCCCACCCTGCCACAGACCCTCTGAAATGGCCGATCTTGCTGCCCAACCCCTTTTTGACTTCTTGTTGCTCAGTCTCTCTACCTTCACCTACCTCTCTTGCTGCTCAGTCCCTCTCTGCCCCCAGATCTCTTGCTACTCAGCCTCTCCCTGCTCCCTGTCCTCTAGATTCTGCTTACCCCATGTGCTTGCTGCCTGTCGCTCAGCTAAACTTTCATTCTATTCTCTTTCCCAGGAGGCCCTCATCCATCTAGGGGCGAAGTTTTCACCATGCATGAGGCAAGACCAGCAGGTGCACAGTTTCATCAGTGCCAAGCGGGAGAAAGAGAAGCACTCAGCCTGCTGTGTGCGCAATGACAAGTCAGGCTGTGTGCAGACCTCAGAGGAGGAATGCTCTGTGAGTGTCAGCCACTCAGTCTCATGAGTAGCTGTCTGCCTGTTAGACCCTTGTTCTACTCCACTGCAACCCCATACCTAGCTTATGTGACCATTACCTTGCTGTGTTTTCCTGCCTGGTGCTGTGATGCCCCCAGCCCTCCTGCCTGGTTGGTGTGGTCCCCTTCAACCCTCAAGAATCTTCTCACTCAGGGGAGTGATCCTTCAGCTCAGTGTGATCCTCTCCATGTCCTGGTTTCTCTGATCAGTTCAGTGACACTCCTCCCCCCTCCCTCCACCACACACACACACACACACACACACACACACACACACACACCTTATGGATTATCTCTATGAATGTCTCTTCCATATTGGGCCATGTGGTGACTTTGCTTCTTTCTCATCTTCAGTCAACTCTGGCTGTGTGGGTGAAATGGCCTTATCACCCCAGCACACCAACACTGGCAGGAAACAAGAGGCAATTTGGATCTGTTTGCCATCAAGATCCCAGGTAGGACTCCCCAGCTGAAGCCTACCCCAGACTCGTTGTGCCTGCTCAGCACAAGGGTCCGCTGTGGCTGTGGAAAGAGTCAGGGAGGAGTGGGGGGCCCTAGGTTCTATGCACAGGTCAGGGCACAGCCAGATTACTCATGGGAACAAGACTGATCAATGACATGAGAGCTTCTTAAGGAAGGAGGGGCTGCTTGGGAACTGGGCAGAAAAGGGATCTGATCTGAATCAAGGAATAAGGCTGCTCTGAGCACTGAAGCAAAGGTGGGTGAAAAGGATTCTTGCCCCAGTGTTGACATTGGTTTTAGTTCTAATAAAATGGCACCGGAAAGAGAGTTGTGCAGTGTCACTGGATAGAGGGGTGCAGGGATTGGGATATGAGAAGGCCATAGGCAGAGAAATGTATAGTGCTGCTCATTTCAGTAGCTGGTTTCACTTCTGTTTTTGCTCCCATTCAGCTTTGTCCTAGCAGTACCCAGACATGTGGCTCCTTTGTGTCTAGCTGCAAACTAATAGAATCCACCCTACTGCACCATATCATCCTCATCCCGTAACATTCACTGACCTGTCTTGGATACCGTACCCTCCTATCCTCACTACCGTATCCATTCTTACATTGCTTCTCACTTGCCTATTCAGTTCTCCTTGTTGGGAATTTCCTTTTCAGTTGTTTATTAGCTCCTGTGTTTGGTGCTGCTGGACCACTATTACTTATGATTGATACCACAGAAATCTGCAGGCCATGGGAGCCACATGGCCAGCTTGCTATTTGCCATCCATCCTGGCTTCATTTGAAGCCACAAATCTTCTGGGCCACTTGGATTTCTGTGAATCCCACTTGAGATTGAGCCAAAGGGAAAAGAGCATTGGGAGAATGTTGGCAGCTGGAGGTTATAAGTGGTTTATTTTGTGTGGATAAGAGTCTGGAAGCTATCAGGCTAGCTACAGGACCAAGACAGATTTCTGCATCAGATAGCTACCACTGAGCATTCTGCTCAGCAAGAGTCCAGAATCTTCTTTTAGCAGAATCAGCTAGTACTTCAGGACAGTTGCTGTGTTCCCCTAAAGCATCAGCCCTTCTATCTGCCTGGCATCATGACACCACAGGGCATGCTTTCAAGTGCAGGCATTGCTCTTCGGTGTGCAAGTGCTTTAAATGGCACGTTTGACAGCGTGACCATTAGCAATCTCAACCTAACCTGTCCCCAGTGCTCTCACAATTCACACAAGCCCCAAGGAAATCCTGAGAACTGTGTCAGAGTGGTGCCCTGGCTCATGGGAAAAAGCAATTTTCTCTCTGTGGACTCTGTGATGCTCTGGGTCCTCCACTCCTGGTTATAACTGCTGCTGCCACTGGTGTTTTTTCCAGGTGATTGATTACTGTTTTGTTGCTGCAGGGTTTGTGAGCAGCCAGCCTCCATGGAGCCACATGAATGGCCAGATGACATCACAAAATGGCCGGTGAGCATTAAAAGTATCGCAGGTTTGTACTGTGACAGACACAGACTGTCTGACCACTCCAACCACACAGTTTCCTCGCTCCTTTCAGTGAAGAGAATAGAAATGCCGGGGACTGGCTGATTCTAATCATTTCTACCTTATTACCACACAGATGATTTGCAGAGTGTTCATCAGCCCTGAAGTGGTGATCTGACTCTAGCTTTGTGCCCGGGCAGAAATCAGTGCCTTGTATAGGGAAAG